TGTCAAGAATATATGGATGTATACATCCATTCCCCCATACATCTTCATAGCATAGTGCTTAGTTAAGTTCAGGCATAAATTTATCTTGCCTTAGGCCATTACCTTGCTGTATCTGCGTCTGCACATCTCTTACTATCAACTTTTGAATGGTTAAATTAGTTTTTATGAAACTTGGTATATATATTATGGCACCTGAACCCATTTCAACCTCGAATCTGATATATCCTGTCAGTATGTGTGTCTATTTGTTATATCTTCTACCGTTACCACGCACAGGTTCCATAAAAATATTCCCGCGGCAATGAATACGCAAGCAACAATAGAAGAAATGTTGGACACTTCACACAATGATAGGCAAATACATTTAGAAACAAATTTTTAATTTCGCTGAAGATGATCTGGCAACGCTGTTACTTTGAATGTTAGGTGACGCAACAAGACAGAGCTCACGTGGAAAATATGAATACGCTGCGTTCAGTATTCGTTGAATAGTATTTTGTTAGATCACTGTGTGTCGTCAACTTGGTCCAGACGCGAAAATGGAGCTTACGATGGAACAGACAGTGAATGTGAATTTTTGTATTAAGCTGCAGAAATCGCTAATAAAATCGTTAAATGTGCTAAGAAGAGTTTATGGTGAATTCCCAGGCCAAAAGAGCCACAATGTTCATCTGTTTTTCGATATCAGGAGTATTCTCCACTTTGTCTTTGTACCCGAAGGAACCACTGTTAATCAGACATTCTTTGTGGACGTTTTGAAAAGATTTATTGATGCCGTGAGGTGCAAGCCAGGAGAACTGTAGAGAGATCGCTCATTGATTTTTTACCACGAAAACACGCCGGCATATTCTTCGCTTCGTGTGTCGCAGTTCTTAGCAGGAAAGCGTATCCCTGCCACGGATCATCCGCCGTACTCTCCCGACTTGTCTTCCGGTGACTTCCGGTTGTTTCCAAAACTCAAGGGTTTACAATAAAAAGAAAGCATTTCTTGGACGTTAAGGGTATTAAATTATTTGTGAAAAAAGTGTTGACAGATATTCTTGTTCAAGGCCGCGCCATAGCTCAAGCGGTTAGTCGCTGCCTTCCCACAGCGGTGGCCCGGGTTCAAGCCCGGGTCTGGTCAAGTTGGATTTGTGGTGGACAAAGTGGCGCTGGGACAGGTTTCCTCCGAGTACTTCGGTTTCCCCTGCCAATCTTCATTCCATCAAATTCTCCATCATCATAATCACCCGGGGCAGGTACAATAAGTCAATCAGTGGCCGATGTGCCGAGTGGACCCAGCTGGACTCCCCCCCCCCCCCCTATGCGAATTAATTATTCTTGTTTAGGATTTTAAAAATTGTTTTGAACAATGACGGACGTGATGGAAACGTTGTAAAGAATTGAAGGGAAATTACGTTGAAAAATTCTAGGTTGCCAATATGTGCAGTTCTTAAAACATTTTGTTAAAATATTAGTCTCGAAACTTATTTGCCCGTATGTATATGCCTATGCCTCAAACGTTCTCTCTTCCTTTCATGATTTGCGACTAAAACTTTGTATGTATTTCTTTTCTATCTTAAAAGTGTCACATACCCCACCCAGTCATTTTCCTTTCCTTGATTACTCTAACAACACTTGTAAAAGTGTCTGAATTATAAAGTCTCTCAATACATAATTTTCTTCAATCAACCACTATGCTATGTTTCCTACTCTTAATATTTTCCTCAGGTTTCTCTTTTCAAACATCTCCATTCTATGGATTCCCTTCAAGCAAAACATCATGTTCTATTCACATAAACAACAATATGCAGAATTATAGTCTTGTTTCCTTTAAGCACTATATTTTTAACATTTGAGAATACGTGTATAATGCAAAGAATTCTGAACTGAATGGTAGCGAACATTCCTCAGAATTCGTTTTATGCTTCATCGTTATTTAAAATTTGATGTCACTGTCTTACCCAAATATATTTGTCACATTTACGATTTTTTAGTGAAGAACTTTGTATTACGATGTTAGCTTGCGATTGTGATGAGACATTATTTACTTCATTTTTCCTGCATTTATTTCAAATCTACTTCCTAATGAACCCTTAACAGAACTTCTGGTTTATTCCATAGGGTCTATATATTTTTGCCCAGTAATTTAAATTATTTTCATAGACGAGAACCTGACGTGTCCTGTTCAATTGCAAATTCAGTAAAACTGGAAGCAATGGTGATATGGCATTTTTTATTTCATATTATTCCCTAAACAGAAACTATATAAAATTATTTATATGTCCTTTACTTTAGTTTTCATTTAACAAATTTTAATCAGCCCAAGTCTCTGGTTATACTGTATTCAACGAGAAGGGCAGAAAATATTTCAAAACGTTAGCTTCGATTTATTGTTTCAGTTCTGCTTCAAGAAGAACAAGAGAAAATTTCAGGGGAATAAACAGTTTTTTCAAATAAAATTTTGATGCCCTAAGTGGGATATGCCTCAGATGTTCATTAAGAAAACAAATTAACATATTTCTTGTTCCTACAGTTAAACTATTGGTCTTCTACAATATGTCCTCCAATATTTTCTCAGTCGGTATTGAGACTAGCCTACGGGCTGAAATACCGTGGACTCAGTGTTTGATTCCCGGTAGGACCAAAAGATTTTTCTCTTATCCATAATGTCCAGACCGGCTCTGGGACACACCCAGCCTTCTACATAATGGAGGAGAGGGCTGACAACACATCTCCTACTACCTCTTGAGCTCTTGAGGTTAAGAATGGCCGAGCTATACATCCTCTCTCATATACGACTTCAAGACGTGGTGCTTAATGAATTAAGCTCAGGGATAACTTTGCCTATTCTACGCCTCACTGGAAGTTACACTATTTATGATGGCGGAAAGACAATACTTTCAACTGCTGTCTAAAATATCTATATTAGTCTGCAAATCATACGTTCCTTTTAGGAACGAGATATCGTGGGTGCAGCGGTATCGAGAATCGCGGGAACTACTTAACCGCAAAATCCATAAACTTATAATTTTCCCCACTAGATGGCAAACAGTGTCATGATCTTACTCCATATACTGTGGTTTAGGATCACTGAAAAGGGCTTTGTGCGAAGGGTAAATATGGAACAGACAATGTAATTTTGAATAAATTACAACACATTTTTGGATAAATACAATTATGTAAACGAAGTTTTATACTGATGCCGGACTAGACAGCGTCACGACAACAATAAGAGAACTGCATAAGCAAATTTCAAGTTTCATATACCAAAGGGACACCATTCAATCTACATGTTGTGGTTTATCCAGAGAAATTCGTAAGCTATTGTATTCTCTTGCATCGATAAGAAAAAATTTCTGCTTATTAATTAGCTTATACTCTTGCAAGTTCGTTTTTATTCTAAACAATTTGTTTCCAGCATTTCAGAAATATTTTTCTGATATATCATTCTTCTAATATTCCATATCGCGAGAAAATTCACTATAAATACATACTTAAAATTAGTAATTACTAGTATATATTAATTGAATATTAATTATGTATTATAACAGAACAAACTTGAGTCAGTTCTGATACTGAATTTCTTCCACTTCCTGGACAATTTAAAATAGGGCCAGCATATATGTCAAATAATGACTAAGAACGTTAGTTTTCTGCACGGTCCTGACATCTTTCGGCTCCAGTTAGGACTCTTGAGACGTTGACAATCCTCTCTATTGGCAACCCTTCTTTTCCCTTTGCACAGAGGAACGGATCGGTGATGAAAATTGAAACACACACAAATTTACCTTAAAGAAAAATTTCAGACATAAATAATAAATTAATTAAATGAGCAATACCCTGAGATATTTGCGTTACGAGTCGCCGTGCAACTATATTATTACATGGTTTTCAAACAAAATGTTATTTCAAGGGATTAGAAGAAAACGTCCTGTCTTTTGAAACATCACATTTCACTGTTAGCGAAGACAGTGTAGCCAACTTTCCTTCATATAGTGCGAGCTCAATGTTGACTATAACAATTATAAATTGAAAAACTCTGTGAACAGTAGTCAACAGAAAATGTTATTCACATGAAAAATTATATCAGCAATAACACAACTAGAACTTCCATATGCAAAGCACGAATTTAATTTAAACAAAACTCTACTAGACGCATGAAAACATGAAATTAAAGTTCACTTTGTGCTGTATGCGAGCTTTCCTTATTCAACATAAAATGAATTTTGAAGTTGTACTATTTACCAAAATAGCCACATTCCGGCTTATGTATTCTCGTAAAGTTAACAGATATTTCGGGGGAAAATTTTGCCTTCAGCTTCAGGAGAGCTGTGCTTGCTGCTAAGTTCTTTCTGGTTGTTAACTTGGTTCAGTATTCTACCTTAAATGAATGAATGTATAAGAGGTGGCCTTCTCGGCCCTTGTACCACGACCTACAGCGATCTACTGTGCTTCCCCTTTAGATTATCCCCTCAGCAATTTTTTAAGTGGGGGCGTCGAAATAGTCACTTGGTTCCATAAAATATAGTAGATGGAGGTCATATGTCCCTCCTAAGGGACAATTAACCACACGGTGTCACACATCGGAAGATAATGTTCCTTAGATAAATTGTTTAGGTATGGTTAATTGCAAACCGAACTAGAACGTTGGAAAATTTTGCTTTCGTACAAAATCAAACTTGATACATATAGATATGATTTTTTTATTTTATTTCACGTATGAAATATTTTATCATAAATAATTTTATTCTCTTTTTCTTTCTGGATGAATTTAATTTTATAACTAAGTTTGAAGTCCAACAAGATTAAGGTAAAATATAATTTAGAGTACATTCAAATGACATGATATGAAACTGAATCCAAGTGGCTGAGTATTCTGATAAGAGTAAACAAAATTAGTGCAGGACATTTTACAGTATTATAGGAATAAATGGAATGATATTAGAGCTGTAATACCGACTCTCACATGTGATCTCCCCTCTTAGTTTCAATAAAGTAACAACCACTGAACTGCCTACCTGACGCATGGCCAAAAATTTCCGATAGATGTCACCTGCGAATTACTTCGTCCATGGAACCATTTCTGTCGTCATAGTGCCTTAGATTTCGGGGCACAACTTCAACAGAATGTTGTTGTTCCTGAAACAGAAGAAGAGCAGAAATCGTTCAAAGAGTTGCTCCTCATAAATTGTTATTGTTTTCGTTCTCAGTTTAACACTTGTTTCAAAATATGGTACATATTCTGAAGCTTGTTTCTACTAGTTCTGTGTGATTTCATCTGAAACTTAACTGTGCAATAGGATGAAGTGTTTCTAAATGAAGTGCTCTCTAATCATTTAGAACTTAATACTTGATTTAATCATTTTTTATGAATGTGATTATATTTAATGAAAATCATGATCATATGAAAGTTGCAGTTTTAAAATATAAGCGTAAATAAACACGACGGCGCCGCTGATTGGATTAAGTTTAAAATGTTTCAAAGTATTTCTCTGTATGTACGACAATAAGAATACTGTGATTCTGCAAGTTATGCTTTGTTTTCAACTCTGAATTTGGAAATGAAAAAAAAATTTGGCAAGAGTTCTCTTTCATTAAAGTGTATCGGCAAGGAGAATTTATGATTTCACGCTGGTACCACTGCTTTTTCCTTTTTTTTTTTTTTGATCTTACCGAATAGTAACAAATATAAGACTTTACTTGAAAGATGGGTTTTGTTACAAAGAATTTCACATTCCAGAGCAGGCGTACGGTATCCTGTAAAAATTACCGGTAATGCAGCCACTTTGATTATCGATTCAACGTATTCAATTGCAGCACTGAAAGACATTTTCTTTCCCTTGTTTGCGAGAGTAATAATAGTGGACATATATACCAAGAATTTGAAAGGGTTTAAGGGGGTGGTTCGAAACATAAAGAGTGACAGTAGTGAAACAAGAGGGTGCCTTTTGGATTTATTTGCTAATTTCAAATATTATAAAAAGATGAATATTAAGATTAAAAAAAAGGTAAAGGTATCCCTGTAACAGGCCGTGGAGATCCATAAGGTTGAGAAAAGTTGAGGTTCCCATATTTTCTAGACGATCAGCTCATAGATGGCGGTAAGGTTGTCAGCCTTACGCGCCGGCCGCCTTTTACCTCCAAGAACGTTCAAAGAATATTTCTGGTACTCATTTCTGTTAGAGGCTGAGTCGACCACAGGACCATAGCGCGTCTGAAAGAATTGAAAAAAAAATATGAAAAAATCCACCTCATCGGGATTCGATCCCGCGACCTTCCGGCTTGTACGACGCTACCGCGTGCCCCTCGTTGCGTATTATTATGATAAAATAAAAATCATGAGCTCTATTCAACTGGGGGAAAACAGTCACTTCGAAATATAAAATACAGAGACAGAAAGATGACGTGAATTTCTGTTGCAGTCAAGTAATTACTGCTGGTGTGGAACACATCAGGACGGTTTGCTTAAGTCCAGTGTCAAGTGATGATGAAGTCTGTGGTTTTGTATTATCAGAGACTTCGGCAACTTAATCCTGTACAAGCTCTAATACGTTTTACGCCTCCACTGCAGAGAGGAAGCTGCATTATTTTCCTTGCAATGGTCTTTGATTTCCTTTTCTACTCTATTCCTTCTTCCCCTTTCTTGCTAACATTCAAAGACGGTACTGAAAGGCATCTTAAGAATGTTTTGTAAAAAGGTTAGATCTAAAAATAAAGGTATGAATACAGGAATAAAATATATAAATAAAATTCCTCCGAATTGCGATCCAAAATATCAAAGCATACTTTGATACATAAATAAGAATTACATTACATTTACTTTGTATGATCCAGTTCTTATCGTAGGAAAGCACAGGCTTGAAACACTTGAGCAGAAGCATAAAAATATGTCTTACAGTTTTACTGTAACTCTTCAAGTTATTAGGTATTCAGAAATATTGAATAATAAATATATTCTAAGAAATTCCAAAAATTCTATTTGAATTCGGAATAACAAGAAAACGAAACCTACACCGAAGTCATATTTGTCTCATGCATTTCTATTCAGAACTGACATCAACGCGATGCAACTGTTACTGTAACAAGACAGGTCATATCACGCACTGCTCTTTGCTCTTGTTCATTTATTGAAAGAGAATTTAAAAGTAAGAAGGTAAAGCTATCTCTGTTAACAGGTCGTGAAGGCCCCTACAGTTGTGAGACGTCGAGACTTTCACATTTTCTAGATAATCGGTTCACAGACGGCGGTGAGATTTTGAGCCTTACGCCGGCCGCCATTTACCCCCAGAAACATTCCTGGTACTAATTTCTGTTAGAGGCTGGGTCGACCCCGGGGCCATAGTAATGTTTGAAGGATTAGGTAAATCGAAAATTATTCAGTGACCTCATCGGGAATCGAAACCGCGACCTTCCTGCTTTTAGCATAGTCCCACAACTAATTATGCTACCCCGTGTTCCCTACGAGAAAGAATAAGCACCATAAAGTTGAACAAAATAACTTTATTAGATGCTAGTAAGGTCAGGATTTTAGAAAGAAAATTAAGAGCATGCTCAAAACTCGCGAGCAAACACCAGACAGAATCTTAATATTATAGTAACTAATATATTCGTGAAAAGTTAAACAGTTCCCTCTAATGTGACTAGTGAAGATTTTTTTCTTATTTCAATTATTTATGCCCTTACTTGTTTCGGTCTTCAGAGACCATCATCAGAAGGACACCTTTACATCAATACAGCTAAGAGCCACTATTACAATACATGTTCTGAACGCCAAAGTACATACACATAATATTAATAATATACATTTGGGACATGACATCTAAAATTTTTACAACTACAGCGGCTGTTCCAATACATTAAATATTTGTAACTGGTTTGTTAATATTTTTATTGGAATTCATAAACCAAGTAGGTTCGTGTCGTCTTTCTTATCATTTCTCTTGACGGGGGCTGAACGCGTGCCGCCTGCTGCTCTCGAGAACAGGGTTCTTTAATGTTTTCCTGTATGTGTTTGTGGCGCACTGTGTTGCTTTATTCGCTAAATATATACGCTTAAAATGTGACAAGGAGCAAATATTTGAGGATAATAATCTGGATGCTATCCATAAACATGATTAAATTTGGTGAAGAACAATTTACCGCCCTACGCCCCATATCTGAACCTAAAAATAAAATTATAATACTATAATATTACCTATTGTTTTGTATGGGAGTATAACCCGACTTGCTATACTAATGGAAGTACATAGTTCGCGTGTTTGAGTACAAGTGCCTGGCAGTTCTTGCATCTGTGAATTTGTGATAAAAATTCCATGACGAACAACAAAATTTATACTTTCCTCGTAATATTATTATTGATAATAGATAAAAGAGAATAAGACAGACGAACGCTGTAGCAGTCACGGAACACGTACCAAGTTTATACACAATTTTGGTGAGGAAACCTGAGGAACAAAACTTGGGAGACAGTGAGAAAAATGGGTGTTGCTGAAATTAATCTTACAGAATCAGTATGTGATGAAGTTTCGATTTAATTATGTACAGTCATATCTGAAGATGCTCAGGCATATTATACTACAATAAACAAAAACTGAGAGTGTTTGAGAACAGGGTGCTGAAGAGAATATGTGGACCGAAGAGAAATTAAGTGACGAAAGATTGAAGAAACTACATAATGAGGAGCTTCATAACTTGTACGCTTCTCCAAGTATAATCAGAATGATCAAATCAAGGAGGATGAAATTGGAAGAGCATGTAGCACGAATGTTGTAAAAGAGGAATGAATATAGGTATTGTTGGGAAAAACAGGAAGAAATAAACTACTATGAAGACCAACACGTAAATGGGTGAATAATATTAAAATGGATCTCAAAGAAATAGGATGGGGTGGTATGGACTGGATTCATCTGGCTGAGGATAGGGACTAGTGGAGGGTTCTTGTGAACACGGTAATGAACATTCGGGTTCCGTAAAATGTTAATAATTTCTTGAGCATCTGCACATTTGGTGGCTTCTGAAGGAGGGCTCAGTTCCATGTGGTTAGAGTATTTAGCCAACCGAATAACTAACATTAGCTGGTAGCTCTGACGGTGAGTTACTTACAAATCCCTTCTATAAATTTCAACACTCAATCCCATTCAACCATTCAAGACATATATTTTCATTCGAAGACCGAATATTTATTACGGTCCCGTGTGTCACTCAGAGCCAGTTCAAGTAACGTGACATATTGTTAATGGTTTCCCTATGCTCGTGTTTGTTATTAATATCCGAAATGGTCCCACGCCATGAGGTTTTCCAAAACTGACGCCTTTCTTCCATGTCTGAACGACTTATGTCCCTTGTTATATAAGTTGTCTGTAGGCATTAACGTTCATGGAAAGCTTCATTTCATTCATCAATAGCTCTGCAGTCTTCTTGTGAGCTCTGGCCTCTTTTTCAGTTTCGTAATCCTAGACACAGTCTGTGGAACTCCTTGGGTGGGAGATCAGCCCTCCGTAAAGCAGCCACCCACACACATGACAGCACAAACACATAATAAACGCGCACAGACATCCATGCTTTGAACCCACGACCACAGAGTTCGAGCAGGCGAAGATACTTAATGCCTTACACCACGGGGTCACCGTTATCGGCAATGGAAAGTATACATTGAACTAATTGTCACTTATTAACGACAAACAAAACTAAACAAACTCCATGGCCTGTAGTTCGCAAGTGAACTATACCGACAGAGCGACCGCCGCTTGTCGGTGAAGTTAGAGCCAACTTTAGCGGATAGAGGGTGTCACGTGGTCAGCGCAACGGATCTCCATAGCCGTTAATCTCGGTTTTCTAGACCGAAGTCGCGTTTTCTTGAAATAGCTCAATTATCCTCAAGAGGCTGAGTGGACCCCGTTCCAGACACACTACTTCTCAGAAAATCTGGTAGCGCCGGAAATCGAACCCGGGACCTCTGGATCTGTAGTCAGGAACTCTGACCACTAGACCACAGAGCCGGTTCACTTATTATTGACAAATAGTATATAGTGACTCGTCCTTGCGGCGAGCTGATCACCCGCCCAAGGAGTCCTACCGAATGTTTAAGATCAAGTAAACCGAAGTGAAAAGGAGAGTTTCGTTTAGGTAGGCCTAGGCCC